CACGTAGAAAACTTACAATAGGGAAAAATTTTACAATTTGGGGCTTTCTATATTTTTCCTAGAATTTGTATGGGACTGCACGTAATTTTCATCAGATCTTTAAGATTCAATCATACAAATCAACTCATTATCTAACCAATTGTTGACCCATTCTCGGAGGTCCATATTTTCATGATACTTTTTTAATTGCAATCAATTGATGCACCTCGCTGTCGTGCCAAGGTGAAGAACGCGGTATGAGCATTTTGACGTTGCCAAATTTCCTCAGACAAATCAGCTTTTCGGAAAAATTAGTCAACATTTTTCTTCAATTTTCTTGAAAAATTTCGTTCGTAATTTGATCTAAAATGTATGAAAATTTTAAGGAGACATATTCATACTTGTTTTTCACAAATACATATTTTGTGATAGAATTTTCGAAACGGGCGAAGGATGCAAAGAGGGCTCCATTGAGAGGTTGAAGGGAGAGGATTGAAGCAGAAATGTTAAGGTGCTTAATGCCCCAAGGGTTGTGGTTTGACAGAGAGCAGTGGAGGTTCGGTGTTGTAGAGTGCGAGGAAGTGCTATAAAGCGACCTATATGTATGTATTTTCGAAACCCTCGAATCAAAACATAGAAGTTCCCTGCGTAAGTTTTTCACCGCGAGTTATTGAAAATCCACCCTGAGTCAACGCGAGGCTCTAGACGAGGAGTGAGTGAGTAAAGGTGCCAGGATTTTTGCAGAACTGCGATCATGTGGTGTGTTCCCCACACAACGACCAGCTCTGGGAACACCAATTGAGCTGGTTTTAAGATTAATCGCCGCTGCAATATACTTGGTCTGAAGGCTGTATGGGAAGTTATTTATAAGATTATTGGTTAATTGTGCAAGTCTACGGAGCGAAGAGATCCGGTCTGGGTCCGGGCCCGGCCGGCGTTTCGCGTACATGGGGCTTGATCACTTTTCGCGGGGACGATCTGGATAGATCACCGTTGCGTTCACCGTGTAATTACGTTTACACGGCAACGAGCAAATCTCATAAATAATCTGAGCCCAATAATAATAATATTGATATAAAATTACTTCTTTGGATAACCTTGCAGTCAGTCACAAACTCTCCCAAGTCGAATGCGACGTGAAAGGATGAGAGATGAGCTAAGGCCCGGCTGCCAATTTCACTCCCATCCTCGTCGCTTCGATCCTAGCCCACTTCGATGCTACGCCTAAAATTACGGGAAAGTCTAGATTTATTATCACAATTTAACAACGCAGTCTGCAGAGTTGCAATTTCGCTTCACTTTTTAATTCTTCACCGACGCTACTTTATTGTTCTTGTCGTGATTTTTCACGGGGAAAAGTACGTGGAATGGGGTGGAAAGACGAAAGGTTCAGGAAATCTGCATTACATCAGAGGTGAAAGTTTTGTAGACATTTAAAAGGTTACAATTCTTTAAAATTACTCATTTGCAAAATAATTGAGCAATTTTTATTGACTTTGTTTTATTATGACAATGAGCTTTCCCCAAAAATATTTTGACTGTTATTAAATTCGACAAAACCCTAGTTTGAGGAACTTAAAAGTAGGATACTAACCCCGTTGTTTGGAACACTTAGTGACTAAAAAACACTCAAAGAGTCGAAACAAACTAAATTAATGATGGTTTGAAACTCGTAGTCCAAGTAACGTAGTACTTTTGAGCTTAAACTATTAAAAGTTTTGGCATAGAATCTCCGAGTTCCAAATTTTCGAAAAAGTCGTTTTTTTCCGTTCAAAACTGGATGCGCTCATTCTCTGCGAGGCTACTACTCACTCAAGATTGCTTTTATGGCAATGACCTTACAGTAGCATTTGAAATCAGGTCCGTAGCTACGGGTGGAAAGAAAGTGTGCACTCCTTGTCCTTCTAGCGATTTGTGTATCCCGGTTTAAAAAGTATATGACAGCTTTTCCTTTTGAGCCTCTTACCCTCGGTTGTTGTTCTAGCTATGGCTTAGCGTATAACGCTCAAAGAGTGTTTTGCCGAAGTAAAGCTAAAATTGTAGCACACATATTTTTCTCAGACTTCCAAAGTTCTGAATGTAATTCTGTTTTATTCAATGTGGTTTCAGTTTTTTATTAGGTATCTCTCTTCCCCAAAATTGACTGGTGCCACTTTGTTACACGGGAAACAGAGGTAGGAGTTAAGTCCCAAGTTGGACATTTCCGATTAACTGTAGTGGTATCCCAATAAATTAGGCTACCAACCCAAACGTTGCGGTACTAACCCAACTTGAGTTGATGATGTACCAACAAAATTAATTGGAAATATCCGTATCGTCCGAGAAATTGGGGTAGTACCCAATTTTAGGGCATGACCCCTCGCACTTTTTTATCCGTGAAAACTCTGGTATTTTTAGACCGATAATTAAAAGTTCACCTTCCTCCAATTAACCCAGCTCAAGATTCTCAAAGGCAACGACTTATTTGCGACCCGCTGTCGGCTATTCTCTGCAGCGTGCCAAAGAACCGTCTGCATGATGAATATCCGAATATGATATGGGAAATATCCATAAAGCTCAACTTTGGTACATTATTTATACCCTCATTGGCACCGATTTGAGAATGTTATGTCGACACGAGTCGGACACGGCATTCGTCATGTGACCGCGAGTCGATCTCCTGATATGGTGCTCGCACGCATAACCCCATCTGCACGCACTCTGAAGAGCTAGAACAGTAGTTTTACCCTCAGCGACGTAATGGTATTCTGATCCGTATAATTTCCTGGTGCGTCTTGAGATAAAAATATTTTCAGCTCTAAGGCGCTCAACACGCCATTTCCATATGCGTTGCTTCGATCGTGGATGGAAGAGTATGGATCTAGAATGACCTGAATCTATTTGTTTCGTGATACGCCTTTCCAAAAGTTTGGCTTTCGTGAAGTAAAATACTGAGCAGTTTATCTATATCTCTACTGACGAAGAAATTTTGAGTATGGAATCAGCGACTATCATACAATTGCGTGATTTCTCTCAGTTTTACTGCCGCATGGTTTGAATTGTTTTCCAAGAGAGAGGGGACCGTGTAATTATTTGGTATGGCTATTAAACAGAAACTTTAGGTCTCATAGTGTATGTGTATAGTGTGGAGGGAGGAGAGGCCCCTCAATTGAACGTATTAAAGCTGGAGGGAACTATAGGCATAGGATTTGTGTGCAGCATATAGATATAGTATTATAGTTCAATTCAGCATAAATTCGTCCACTTTTGACCTTTCTTCATACACCGATGCATTTTTGTGAGAAATGCATTCAATTAAAAAGAAAATACCTACTTTGGAATACCCCTGATTTGGGGAAATCATTTTATTCAAATACCTTACCGGTGAGTGAACATAGAGAGGCAGACGGCACCGGGCTCATATTTTGCGTTAGTTAATGTTTTAAGTCTGCTTCTAATTCTGCCGTGCTAAGAAAGAACGCCGTATGAGCCTTTAGGCGTTGCCAAATTTCTTTTAATAACGTGGAGTCAATATTTTTAATAATAATTTATTAATAATATTTTTCTTTGGAGTTGCGCTGGGAACAGACTCGTGTTTTGATGTTTGATTCTTGTAGATTAGCTAAAAATAAGAAGATCCATCCAAACAGTAACTCTCTACGTTCAATATTTGAAAATTCGAGTTTTTGACGTCATCCACCGCGGTAGTGCATAACATGGCATGTACTACCGCCATGGGTGATGTCATAAATCGAGTTTTTCTCGGTTACTTTTGAACGTAGAAAGTTGCTGTTTGGACAGATCTTATTATTTTTAGTTGATCTGCGAGAATAAAGCATCAAAACACAATTCTGTGACCAGCGCAACTGACCTATTCGATACGAAACGAAAGATTGACTTCTGACATGTTCATTTTCTTGCATAAACTTTTTCTTGGACTGTATTAAGCGAACAGTTGAACCTGATAGTTTTTTTTTTTTTTTTTTTTTTTTTTTTTTTTTTTTTTTTTTTTTTTTTGCGATGACAACAGGGCTCTTTTTGAATTGTTGATTTTTTCCTTCTTTTCAAGCAGACTCGAGCGAGTCAACAAGTCAAGGCCTCGAGAGTCAAAATGAAATGGCAGAATGTGAATCAATAGCCCCCTCGGAGCTCTTCCACTTACCAACGCGGTGCCGCTTCGGCCCGTGGAGTAATTAACTGCAATATAAGCATTTTGAGTCAGCAGTTTATGGTCGATTATAAAATCCGTTTGCTACAATAAAAATGTATTCAAATTAAGATTGGTTGATGTTTAATTCTGTGACCTCGACGCATACTTTTCATTCTACTTACGAAACCCCCCGAACAGCCCGCCGAACCTACCGCAGGCCGCTTGCTCCCTCTACGCAGTGCGGCCGCCGAGGCTGGGTCTGCCATTTTAAGACTGCAGTCAATTTTTCCTCATTGAATCCGTTCGCTATTAGACTCCTCAGATGCAAAGAAATATTAGTGTTTTATATTCAGTAATAGAATCAAGGGGAATTCATTTCATTTAAACCTCTGTTCACTACACATTTTTTAGTTGAAATATATCCCTTGGTTGCATGAGCTATTCGTTAAGTGTGGAGAAAGAATCTACATTGTACGGTATTTTTTCGACAATTGAGTCAGTTGGGGTTGATTTTTTTAGTTTTTTTTTAAAAATTATGAGATCAGATTTATAATGCTCCTCAAAAACCATTTCTTGCTTTAATTCAATTTAATAATGATAGAAATAAAACCGAAAACCATTTGTTGCTTTCATGTAACGCTATGCAATAAAGGGATATGTTAACCTAACGTCCTGTTTGGAGGAGAACTAACTAAAAAATAAGATAAAGTAATTGTGATAGAGTCTATTTCATTTACATTCTTATATAACCTGTTAAAGACTCCCTGCCTTTTTTCATTTATTATCAATCAATCTACTCACTCTAAAATGTATTTTTTTTTGCTGCAAATAGTTGATTGTATCCATCATCAGAACAAATAAAAATATCCTGATTTTTCTGTTTTTGTTTCAGTGTTCAAACGTCATGATCTAAGTCTGCACCATGTTCCTACTCCTAGTATAGGATTTTCTAAGGTAAGTTCATCATATTCATACATTTTTGTGATATTTGAATTTAAAATTGATGACAGTTGCTTCCCGCATTGAAGATGAATCAGCATATTAGATTTTAGTCAAGGCGCAAGAATATCGGGCTTTTTTCAGATTTTGGGTAAAAACGTTACTCACCGAAAGTTTTTCGCCATGAGTCCTAGTTTTTCCGACGCTAGTATGCACCATTTTGATTTATTTCGTATTTCATTTGACAGAATTTGTTTTTCGGGTACTTTATAACGGGGGCTCACATCCGTACTATAAAAATCGTATTTTTCTATCCAATCGTTAAAGTCTCTGATCAAAATCTGGAACATTTGAAACATTCTTCGTGAAGAATTGAAGCGCTGGGTGCAAAAAGGGCATTTATTGGTTGCGGTGTCTTGGAATCTTTGCTAACGTTTCATTCCTTTATAAATTAAGCAAATGAATGGAGTTCATTGACTTTTTTACTGAATTTTCTTTATGATTTTATCTCGTTGAAAACGAAATTTTTTGCGAAATTCACCCAATAGTTCCCTCTTTAAAATATACAAATTAGCAGTGAAGATTCTAAAACGCCACAACCAGTAAATGCCATTTTTACACCCGACGCCTCAATGTTCAAACCTAGTGAATTTAAACTCAAAACTTCATTCAAAGTAGAATAAGGACAACAGAAAAATAAGGGATTACTAGATTTCTAATGAAGCAGTGGCGATTTTTGAAGGTTGGCAACACTGTATTCCTCCATTTAAACCCATGATAAAAATCGATTTTAGGTAGGCAAGCTGCTTCACAAAGATTCGATTGTTTTCATACATTTCAATGGAAAAAACAGGGTTGCGAAATTTCAAGAATCCCCATTGAAGCGGAGGGATGCGCAGAGAAATCTCCGCGGAACGAGGGTGAAGGCTTAAAGTGGATCACCGTACACAGAGAACGCGGAGGAAGGGCTAGGTAGTAGGAGGAAGTAGACTCCATGAAGCGAATGTAGTGGGAAAATTATAGCGGTGTGTGGTGGTTAACTTGTAATATATTTGTCATTTTACGAGCAAAAATCACGCCTATCCCATGAGGCCTCGCACATTACCAACCTATGTTTATTTACACCAATTACATCTAGCAACTCGCGTCGCCTATCATCTTCACACAAACATACAGGTGATTCCTTTTTGATTTATGTACGTTTTGTTTAGCCCTCCCCACCCGGCTTCGGACGGGTGGGAGGTTGCCCGTGTGTGCGGTGATTCGTTTGTTTGTTTGCTCGCTCGTCCGCTTGTTTGTCTGTTTACTTTTAGCGCCGTATTGTTGTCGAATCGCGGGCCGGCCGGGGCTCCGAGAGCTGGTCCGTCTAACGTCGGTCTGGAATTAAGTGTTTACTTGAAAATAATGTTCGTTATTTGCAAACCTATGATTTAGCTTTCAAGTTAACTATACAAGTTGCAGACTTATCGCTGGTGGCTGGTTGTTAGTGGCTGACAGAGCCCGGCCGGAGCCGGGTTGCCCCGACAAGTTGCCCGTTGGTCGCTCGCGACCCATGCAACACATTTCTAAATCCACGTGTAAATAACCGAGGGCCAGGGCCATTCACTTGGCCCTCCCACGACTCGCATCGACTGGACGCGACGCGACGCTCCGCGGCCGCTCCGAGAGCCCAACGAGATAATGGCTCCGCGACAAATTGTCCTCTATCCCTAAACCCACGCCGCCGTCTCCACACCACCCTCGCTTAACGGCAATCACCGCAAAATACTCCTAAAATACCTCCAGTTTCAAAATTTTCATCGCGGTATAGCTGTTGAACAACATTTTGGAGACTTTAGAGATAATGACGGACTTTAAAGCCCTATTCCAACTATCAAACTTTTCATCCGTCATACCTGAACGAAAAGTTGGACGCAAAAAATTTGATTCAATCTCTCTCCGTTCAACTTTCCATTCGATTGGCGGCACCGATTGGATGGAAAGTTGAGCCCGTTGAATGTGACGTCGAATTCAAGTTTTCGTTCAATTTTCCATCAAATTGTCGTTTTCTTGCGCCAGTATCACACAACCTAACTTCTCATTACGACAAGTTGCATTCGAGAGTTGAATGAAAAGTTGCATAGTGTGAATCGGGCTTAGTTTGAATCAAATTTAGCAAGAAGTAAGAGAGTTTTTCTTTGATGGGGTTGCTTGTGGAGGTTTTTTTTTTTTTGTTATTTCTGTTTTGTAAAAATCGCTGAAGTACTTGGCTGGCACCACCACGATTATATGTTGCACGTAAAAGACGATTCGGTCCTTGTAAAAACGGATTTCTTTTCAGAAGCTCGATGCGGTGGTTATTTTTTACACCAATTACGAATCGTGTGGTTATTTTAACGTTATATTTTTGTCGTTTGTTCCGGTTTGGTAATAGTCCTCTGAAAACAATTGATATTTTTAATTCCTGGAACCTTGATAAAGCGAAGATTGGTTCTCTTTAGTTCTCTGGACTCATTTAGTTCGTTAACCTTTTATTATTTTATTTGCATATTTTTTTCCTATGTTGCTGTTGTTATTGCTGGTGTTCCTTTATTGTAGTATCTTATTAATTGGAAATGGGGTTTCCGATTGCCGCGTAAAAATAAAAAAATAAATAAAATTACGATTCCGAGCTCAATTGATGAGTTTAATTGATAAGCGCTATAAAACGCGATGATAAGAGACGGATGCGGACTCTCTAGATATCTATGCAGGTCGCACATGCGCAACCATATGCCACAGTCTCGCACTGTAGAAGGTATAAAAAGTGAAGGTCTAGTTCGTGGGGAGAGGGAATGATTTGTGTAACTTATAATTACCAGTGAGCCCTCGGGGCGAGTGACGTCACTTTGGCCGTGTTCGTCCGTTTACCGCGTTGTTGCTAGATTTGAATTTTTTAAAATTTAAAATCTTTAGTATTTGCGTTTGGCCAATGTTTCATTTTCCTTACTCTTTCTGTCTGCACCCCAAAATAATATTAACGGTGGGAGTGTTGTCTATGTGATTTTTTGTTTCAGCAAGGGAAAATCTGGAAACAGACTTTTCCACGCGCAAAACCGTAACACTTAAATGCCGCGCGTCTTACAACGTTGTCACATCTCGTCTCATTTGCGGACAGCACTTTACCGACACGTCGTTTAACCTGAAATTTGAATTCTATTTTTTTCCTGTAACCTCTTGCAGGGCCGGATTTATCTACTCGCCGCCCATGGGCCGCCTGTATTTTGCCGTCCCCTTCTCATTCGTTTTGAAACATGAATAAAAACCATCAAGTGAACGTGCCGGAGGGGGAGGGGTGCATAAGACACGTTTACGTACTCGTGTTGGATACATTTTTTGCGAAAGCCCTGTCAACACTACTAGCAAAATTTCACGGAACTTGACGCGAAAGTTAAGTTCCGTAAACCTATCTCTGTGTGGACAAGGTCTTCCATTTATAAGAAATGAAAAAAAAAAATTATGCAAGAGCAAACATAAACGTGGTTTAATTATTTTAACTTTCACCGCTGCGCCGCGTGACCGCACTGTGTTTGGCGCGATGCGTGAAGTATTCCTGCAGTCTTGTAGGCGCTATGCGTTTCACGCCAACCGCTCCTGACCGCGTGACCGCACTGTGTTTGGCGCAATGGGCGAAGTATTCATGCTGTCTTGTAGGCGCTAATATGTGTTACATGCCGACCGCCGCGCCGCGCCGAGGGCTTGTCCTTTTCATCTCAAGTCCTGGTCATCATACCTCTCTGCGCTGAGCTCCAGGCCAAATTGCGTGTTCAGTCTCCCTCTTAACTCGACTAATTAAAGATGCTGCCTCTTGTATCACCGAAAAAACCCAGAAAATGTTGGACCCAGAAAATGTTGAGTTGGGCATTTTTAAATTTGAGTTATTGTCCCTCTGATTACTCGAAAAATTTTGAACAGAAGTTGCTTACTTATGAAAAAATTGAGCTTTTTGAGTCAATTTTGCAACCCTTTGATGGGTTTACGTTCTTTCGTCTAGGAATTAACTTTGCCCATAACATTAAAATTTAATGTATGCTTGTAAGCCTATAGTTTTCAACATAGCGACTCTTTCACACGTTAGAAGTAATGAATTGTAAAATTTAGGGAGAGAGCAGGAGTGTTTCAAATTTGGAAGAATCTGCTTCTCTCTAAATTTCTCATAAAACTACAATGACCCCTGTAAAAATTCAAAAATGATCATTAAATACCCATAGACTGTTTATAGCGCAATAATTATAGTATAGCGGTACTGCTATACTAAACGCGATAAAAAATATGTGTGCAATTTAGTCGCTTTTACATCACACTAGAGTGCTCTACGTTACTGATTTGCCACGGAAATCTGTCAAGGTAGAATTTTTACAGAAACTGACATTTCTCCATCTCTTTGTGGATGCTTCATATCTACCCTCTAGCCGGACGCCCTCTCCGAGATAAGAAATAACCAAAACAACGGTATAGAATGCCGGTTTTAAATTAAATATATTCGATTTTGTGAAGAGCATAGTTTAAACGTTATCATATTCATGGATCTTGATAATCTCAATGTTTGCATTTTGACTGAAATCACCAAGTGAAGATATCTACTTTGAAGACAGAACTAATTTGGTTCGAGCTCCAGGTGATTTTTAGATAGCGCAGCAACTTTACACGAGCTTGGAAAGTGCTCTGAACTCGTAGAGCGGGTATACTGCCGTGTCGAGGAAGAACGCCGTATGAGCCACCATATGTTGCCAAATTCCCGTTCATTCTCCGGAAAACCCATGAACACATGCCATTCAATTTTGCAAAGAATTTTATTTGTGATTAGACCTAAATTATTGGAAATTTTCAAGAGAATATATCTGGAACTCTACTTAAGAAAAACAATTTTATTCGTAGAAATTTGGCAACTCTCGAATGTTCATACGGCGTTTTTCCTCAGCACGGCAGTACAGAGCATGTGCGTGTGAAGAATTGGCTTGTCGATATAGGCCTGTACGGTACTGCGCTGGGTACTC